AAAGAAAGAATATTGAACGTCGTATGATTACTCAGCGCTTCACAATTTAATTTAAAGTTATAAACCTTTAAAAAATGAATGATCAGGAACCTGAAATACGCGCAAATATTAATATTAACAAATTATAACATTATAAAGCTTAAAGTATGAATTAAAATGATTAGAAATATTAGGAACGGTACACAATATAAAACTTAGTAACTTTTTTTAAGTTTATAATATTCGACATATTTTAAGATTATATTAAAAAATTATTGAAATATCGAAAACACATAAAAACATGGCTTAAAAAAGTTCTAACAAATGAAAATGTCAATAAAACATCCACGCATTTTATCGAAAGTTATAAAAGTTTTGTTACTTGTAATATGTTTTATCTGCCCCCTGGAATTAATGTTTAGAACCTTGTTCCCAAGGTTTGAGAAACATCCGATTGTTGTCTATTACTCGTATTTACCTGCTGGATTTTTTAATCCGGTGGACAGTCCATCTAGAAAGGCCCTCCTGGATGAAGTTACAGAATCATCAACCCATACTTTACTTGTAGTGTGTCCTGCGTTTACCCACGTTTCATCAAGGTAATAAATCTTCCTGTTTTGATTTCTATATTTCCCAATTTTTGTTAAATAATCCCTCCTCCATAGCACAATTTCTTCTCTATCCAGTAGTAAACTATTACGACCCCGTTTTTTCCATTTGAAATTTAAATGCTTCAGTAACGCATGGAAAGTTGATCGTTTGAAATTTGGCAACGTTGTATCTCCATTTACCTCCTGCAGTACTTTATCTATAGTATATTCATGCACTTTCCTCCTAATCGCATGTTTATCAGCTTCATCCAATGATTTAACAATACTTTTGCGATGTTTACTGGTCATTGGCTCAGAAAAGGTGTGATTTTTTTTGTATTGTCTTAACACATTAAACACTGATGCGCGACACACCCCAACTTTGTGAGAAACCTTCACAACAATTTCTTTGATGGTTGATGCCTCGTTCTCCTCGCGCTCGATCTTATATATATTCAAAATGACCTCTTTCATTTCTGCACTCAGGTGTCTTTTTTTAGAGCGTTTCCTAGGTGGACTACAGGAGTTTACAAGTTCATCGGCAGTATCTGTACTACTGGGCATTTTGCGCAAGCAGTTGATAACAATAACAATCAATAACAAGGTATAACAATAACAACGACAAACTCAACAAATTAATAAGATAACAAACGAAAACGTCCAAAGAAATATCAAATTGCAATGATGCACACGACATACGTAACACGTCTGAACCTGAATTTGACTCTACCTTGATACGACTGCTCTGCCGCTCGGCATAGGCATTTAATTGCGAATTGACCAATGAGGGCTCCTGTTTTACGTCGAGACGGCGGCGTTAGCGTGAAAATCACCCGAACCTTTTGTTTACATCCGGTCTATCTCTTATCTGAATATACTGTAGACAATATCTCAGCTGATATATCATCATTAGATTTCCTCTGTATACTGGGCCCAGGTCGTGAAATCCCAGCCGACGCCGCAGGTTGATACGATTCCCGCCGCTCTTCTTGAGAGACAGTGAGTGTCAATTGGTTTTCCTCTGGAGATGGGTCATCAATGTTCCCCTAAAATCAAAATACAGTTTAATTTTGCCGATTAAAACATTATTTTTATTTTTCAGTTTCCCAATTCTACAGAAAAATGGAAAGAAATATCAAAGGATTTTGAGAATCGATGGAACTACCCACTCTGCATAGGCGCCATGGATGGCAAGCATATTGATGTAATTCCCCCAAGAAATTCGGGCTCTTATTATTTCAACTACAAAGCAAAGCATAGTATGGTCCTTCTTGCTATTGTAGATGCAAACTACCGATTTCTCCTTGGGGATTTCGGAACTAATGGCCGCGTATCCGACGGCGGTGTACTCCAAAATACACGTTTCTATGAAAAATTAGTGTAGAAAAATCTACATATTCCTCCGCCTGACGACGTAACTGAAAATTTTAAAAATGTCCCCTATGTTTTTGTTACGGACGATGCATTTCCGCTGACAACTGAAATTTTGAAGCCATTCAGACAGGCATTTCTTGATTCTGCCAAAAAAGAGGTTTTTAACTATCGTATGTCTCGCGCAAGGCATATAATAGGTGATTTTTTTGCTAGTATCTTTTTGGCAACACTGTTTTTGACAGATGACGCGTGAATCGTATCTTGTGTCATTGTCAAACTTATTCAGTTTGGTCTATAATTTAACCATGAATCGACTTACGAACGAACAACGCTTGCAAATTATTGAATTTTACTATCAAAATTCATGCTCGGTTAAGAGAGTGCATCGAGCACTGCTTTCTATTTATGGGCAATTTGGTCGGCCTACTGAGGGAGCTATTCGGAAGCTTGTGACTAAATTTCGAACCCAGTTTACATTATTGGACATGAAACCACCAACACGCAGACGTAGAGTGAGGACTGAAGAAAATATTGTGGCTGTATCCGCCAGTGTTAGTGATGACCGTGAAATGTCGATTCGCCGCCGTTCGCAGCAATTGGGCCTCTGTTACTCCACTACGTGGAAAATTTTGCGACAGGATTTGGGTGTAAAACTTTATAAGATACAGCTGGTGCAAGAATTGAAGCCACACGACCTCCCACAAAGTTTCCAATTTGGTGAGTGTGCGCTGGCAAAGTTGGAGGAAGATCCACATTTTTATCGAAAAATTGTGTTCAGCGACGAAGCTCATTTCTGGTTGAATGGGTACGTTAACAAGCAAAATTTCCGCATCTGGAGTGAAGACCAGCTAGAAGCATTGCAAGAGCTACCAATGCATCCCGAAAAAATCACTGTTTGGTGTGGATTATGGGCCAGTGGCATCATCGGGCCGTACTTCTTCAAAGACGACAATGGCCGGAACGTAACTGTGAATGGCGAACGCTACCGTGTGATGATAACAAACTTTTTTTTGCCCAAAATGGAAGAGCTGGACTTGGCTGACATGTGGTTTCAACAAGACGATGCCACATGCCACACCGCACACGAAGCACTGGCCCTATTGAGAGGCGAGTTCGGTGAACAGTTTATCTCACGTTTGGGGCCCGTCAATTGGCCGCCTAGATCGTGTGATTTAATGCCGTTGGACTATTTCTTGTGGGGCCATGTTAAGGCTAATGTCTGCAGGGATAAACCAGCAACGATTGACGCACTGGAAGCCAATATTGAAGCATTAATTCGTGAGATATCGACCGATATGCTGGAGAGAGTGTGCCAAAATTGGACCTTGCGCAGGGGCCATCTAAAGCGGAGCCGCGGCCAACATTTACATGAAATAATCTTTAAACATTAAATTATATCGACCGTTCTATCGACTCAAATAAAGATTTAATCATGTTTTCAAATTTTTTGTGTTTTTTTTGAAAATCAAATCCTATACATCTTAAAAAATCACCCATTAGTTGAAAACGTATTTGGTATTCTTGCATCGAGATTTCGTATTTTTTATGCGGCAATAAATTTAGAACCACAAAATACTGAAAAGGTTGTGATGGCAGCTTGTGCTCTGCATAACTTTTTGATGGATAAACAGCCTACAGTTTATGCCCCTGCAAATTGTTTGTATCAAGAAAGTGATCAAGATGGAAATATTTTGTCTGTTGGCAGTGATAGTACACAATCTAATATGAACCCACTACAATCTTGTAATCGAGGAAATATTTGTGAAAACGCCAAAGAAGTTAGAGAACAATTCATGGATTACTTCATGGACGAAGGGAAAGTGCCATGGCAAAATAAACACATATTGAGGAACAACCAGAACTAATGAAATAAAGCGTTGTAGTAAAGTGTGGAAGGCTTTCTAAACTAACACTTTTATTTACCTACCTAAGTAAAAATAAACTCAACTAAACAATTATTTATATACAGATTTAAATAAACATTGTCAAAAATAATATTTATGTTTTCCTTACCTCATCATAGTCCCTTTCAGGAGATAAATTTGAGACCGATGATCTAGGATTATCTTGGTCCTTTATGAAATCAAAAAGTTCGAAGTACCAAAGAGAAAGTTTGTATACATTATCTGCTGAGGCGCCAGATTTCATTGAGGAGTCAATTTTCTTCTGCTCCTTTCGAACATTGGATCTCAAACTGTTGATTTTTTTTAACCAAGGTCTCGTTTGCATCAGGCTCTATTTCCTTCAATTTGTTCACTAATTTTCTGTATGCAGCATCTCTCTGGTCTCTATTGCGATAGTCATTATCTTTCACTTTCCACAAGCAAGGTTCACTTTTATCAATTTCAATAAAATCACCAAGAACTTCATTATTCCGTTGCGACATTTTTCAGTATCTACCTAAAACTGATTGTTTTGAAAATTTAACCTGTCCACATCAAAGAATTGCTAAAAACTGAGACCTGTTCAGGTTACACCGCCACACACACGTCAAGTCTACTCGCCTGTCAAGCAGAATTGATCGAATTTTCATCAGTTGCCAGGTCGCCTGACAGGCTAGATATTCCCGCCACACACTATAAGGTACACCTGACAGGAGTAACTGTTCAGGCGTACCTGTCAGGTGCACCTGATAGTCTGTGGCCGGCATAATATTTTAAGCTTTTCTTTTTTGGGTGGTCAATGTTGTGAACTGTGCCATTTAAATGTAGGTACTTTTTTTTCTCTGTAGTTTGTGTCAATGTTTTTTAGGTCGCGTTGAAAAACAGCTTAAGCAGACACTCCACCTTTTCGTCACTATTCCTATTAAGCAAATTATTTTGTAAGCATGTGACGAATAAAGACCATTTATTATTATTATGTTCGCAATGCCAGCTCTCAGCTTCGTATAATCCTGTATGATAAAATCAAAAATAAGAATCCCGATTCCAGGAAATATTTTTTTCATGCCTCGTAGGTAGAACAATAACCAATTTAGCAATGTTAAAACGGTATACCTAGTACCGGATACTGACATTCAATCTGCTGACTTCCCGGCGCTGCAAAATGTATTCACAACGGTACTAAAAGTACTTTCACTTGCACAGCGCTGAATGCTCAGTATGTTGCCTGAACAGTGCTTAACAAAATAACACTCGGTACATTGTATATACGCATGTACCATCGACAAAATCTTATCTTTCTACCATATGCAGTTGCCATGGAAAAACGGACCATTAGCAGTTATCATGAGATTAAAGCCGTGGATAGTCGTGAGTTTGTTTTGTGAAAAAATCGAAAAATGTAGGAAATAGCAAGTTGTTTTGTTGTTTTGTGAGCTGCGAAGAGAAAGATGATGAATCTCCTCAAAAGAAGTCACATAACGTACAGGCCTTTAAAAAATCAGGATTGGAGCGAAATTAGTAAGTCGTTTTTTATATAGCATGATCATGGAAGCACTGGTAACGTTTCTAGACCCCAAAATACATAGAAAATGAGGGATTGTCCCGTCGGTGATTTTGAGACTCTGGAATGGGTGTCGGTTAGCTGCAAACAAAATACTAGATTAAGTATCAACGCTCTTTGAGTGTGAAGAAGCTTCTTCAAAAAGATAGGGAACGAATCGTAGTTCCTACGAGTAGGGAAGGGCGTTTATATATTTGTTGTCTGAACTAAAGAATCGTCCAAACCCCCTCCTTCTCTGGTGAGATGTGGGATTTAGCATGAAACACCGCTACAGGAGAATATTTATATATTTTATGAATATTTGGGTATTAGGAGTACGTACCATTTTAGGGTTCTGCGATGCTTTTGTAAATGATGACAATTGCTTTTATATCTCACACATATATTTTTTTTAATTTTATGATCCTTCAGTCTACCTCCCATTTCGCCTAAGCTTCAATTTGTGTTACTCAGTCTATATTTTTCCTATAAATATCTCGTCAAGTAGATCGACTCAGTATTTATGACGCATTGATGTACAACATACACGGACTAACAAGCTTATATCGATGAGAAACTTATGTGATGCAACTATCTTTATCAGGTTGAATGCATTGGCGGTTGTATTCGACCGCTTGCAAATAAACCGACCATGCCATGGCGGTCGTATGCGACCACTCCAGACTAGCCGTCAAAATTCATTTATGCTGCGCTAGCGCTCGTTGATAGGCATATAATTATTATTATTGCAGAAGACCGCTGTGGCATCCATGCCTAGCTTAAGTTAGCGGTTTTCGGTGTATCTTACAAGGGAAAGTGAAAATAATGTCTGAAGTCGATTTATAAGTTTTATTGAAATATATACTCGTATATACAGGGTGTTCCATAATTATTGCGACAAAATAATAGGGGTTGTAGAGGGCATCAAAATAAACAATTTTGCCTTATAAACCCCTGTTCGGAAATATGCCGTTTGGGCTGCAACAAAAAAAAAAAGATCAGTTTCTTGAAACAGGTTACCTACAGTAATTGCTCAAAGTGTCCTCCACCTTGCTCAATACACAGCTGTGCACGATTGTTCAATGATCGGCGAACTCTGTGGCATACCCCCGGTATGTCCTGAACATGTGCGGACGCGGCCATCACTCTTCCCAGTAGCTCTTGTTGGTTGGGAACAGGAGTTTCGTACACTAAAGCTTTCAGATGGCCCCAGAGAAAATAATCCAGTGGGGTCAGGTCGGGTGACCGCGCAGGCCAAGGCACAGGGCCACCTCGGCCTATCCACCTATTTGGAAATTTGTCGTCCAAATACTGCCGCACTTGTAAAGAAAAGTGGGCTGGAGCGCCATCGTGTTGAAACCACATGTGGGCTCTTATGTTCAGTGGCACATTTTCTAATAGTTCCGGTAGCACATGCTGTAAGAATCGACCATAAGCATGCCCATCCAAACGTGGTGGAAGCAAATATGGCCCGATGATATGCTCGTCCACAATGCCTCACCAGATGTTAATTGAAAACTGATGTTGGTCTCTATGGATGGCTATGGCATGAGGGTTTTCTTCATCCCAAATGTGACTGTTACGGCTATTAAAATAACCGTCCTTTGTAAAACAGGACTCGTCAGTGAACAAAACGTAGCGACCAAAGTTTGGTTGCCTCAACTCCATAAATCCTTGCAAAAATGGCGTGATGCGGATGAGGACGTTCTGGAAACCGTTAGGCGTAGATTCGCGAGGGTCGTCTTCCGTTACCACCAGCTTCTTCGTAAATTAAATGCATATCCGCAAGTTCCGCATACGAAGAACGCTGCATTTTAACACTAAGGTACTGTTATTTACTATCTAGTTTGACGCACCACTCAAATAAATTAAATGAATCGGTGTGGAGAATTTACGATAACAAAAATGTAAACACAGCAGGCTTTTTTACAAACCGGCGAGACCATGAAATGTGCTAGACGAACATTTTGCAGCTGGTGAATTTTTTGTTTCCCCTATGAGCTCTTAAGGTAAAATTAGCGGTAGTGCTCAAACGGCATATTTACGAACAGGGGTTTATAAGGCAAAATTGCATATTTTTATGCCCTCTACAACCCCTATCATTTTGTCGCAATAATTATGGAACACCCTGTATATATTTATATATACAGGGTGACTTTGAAGTTGAGTCGTTACTTTTCAGATAATGATTGTAGAAGGAAGAGACGCCCAGTAACATGGTGAAACCTGGATAGATGGTACAATGGTCAAAATTATATAAAATATTCACAATTGTGTGACAAGAACAAGTTAAAAACAAATTAAATTTTTTTTTAAAGACATGAAAGCATTACATCGTGAAGCCACTTGATGATTGCACAAAATGTTACTGGGCGTTTCCCTCATCCTAAACGTAAACAACAATTAGCAACATCCTCACATACTACTCTCCTGATGATGATGGCAAAGTCCATTGAAAGCTAGAGAGAATTGAAAAAAGTATAAAGAGTCCTCTTTGCTTAAATTTTGTCGAAGTACCCAACAAAAGGCGGAAGCTTTAATTTTCCACCTAACTGGTCTAGACGACAATGACCACGTCTCAATATATATATATATATATATATATACAGGGTGTCCCAGAAGTCGACGTCAAGCCGAAACCGGGTCATAACAGCTATCAGACAAATATTTAAAAAAATTTTATGTATGTGTTTTGAAAATTATAGGTCTTTGAAAAAAATATAGAAATTTCACACCCTACGGCAGTCTGTCAACTCCTGTTACTACAAATATTAACTTTTTTTGGATTTTATTTTTACAATGTAATAATGAATAATGCATCTTCAAACTGGTGTCTCAACCTTACTGCCAACTTTTCTCGTTCAGGAAAAATTGCCACTTATTTCCCAACCAAGTATTCCAAAGTAAAACTTTACGAGAGTTTGCCAAGTAACCTTAAAAGTTGTCGCATATAATAAGGATTCCAAAATGGTATAACACTTAGAAGATTACTCGTTAACTTATGCACAATTTTTATTTGAAGAAAAACTGATGAAAATTTTTCAAAATTTCCTAATTAAACAGCGATTATGAAAACGCACAAGGACCCTCAAGGATAACTGTTTGCACAACAGTGAGCGTCAAAATGCTGCTAATGATGATTTACCTTCACAGCAAATGCTCAAACTGTTTTCCTTCAGCCGCAATACACGCTTAACAAAGATCGGGTTATTAAACGAGCGAATCCACGGTTATCAAAGTTTTGATCGAGATACTCTCTCACTGAGAGTGCATAGTGCACTGGGCAGCCATCATGCTGAAACCACATGTCCCTGTAAATACTCAGTGGCACGTCCACCAATAAATTTTGAACATGATTTTTCAAAAAATCCAAATAATCTTCAGCAGTCAAAGTGCAAAGTGTCTGGGAACTCAAACGGACCGATTATTTTACCATTTGAAATTCCTGTCCAATGGTTTATCTTGAAGCGATATTGAGATTTATCTTCTCTCATCAAATGTGGGTTTGCTACGTGCCACTCGTGTAAGTTATGCAGGTTCATGTACCCATCTTTCTTAAATGTGGTCTCATCCGACCATAAAGTTTTTTCAAAGAACTGTGGATCTTTCCTGTGTCTTTCTAACATTGTGCGACAAAAAGCAACTCGGGGCTCATAATCCCGGGGCAGAAGAGTTTGAACACTCTGTACGTGGTACGGATGGAGCACGTTTTTTTGCAAGATTCTATGGGCTGTACTTTTGGGCACACCTGTTTTTAGTTCTATTGCACGCACTGAAGTACTCGGGTCTTCTTCGACAGCTCCTAGCACCACGTCTTCGTAAGGAAGGGAAGATCTTCCCTCACCGTGTGATTGGTTTGGTAGTTGGCCCTCTGAGAACAGTAAGCGGTGCACATTTGTGAACACTCGATGATCTGGATGACGAGCTGCATTCGGGTACCTCTCACAGTAAAGTCTCGCTGCAGCACTAGCGTTGCGTCTGCATTCCCCATAAATGAGGTGCATGTTAGCATATTCTTCTACGGTGTACACGGACATAGCGGCACTGCACAATCACACTATCAAAGATAGTCTAAGGAAAGCAAATGTTTTTTTGAAGAGCAATTAAACAGTCCAAATCCAAATCACAAGCGATCAACAGTCCAGTTCACGAATCCAAAATTAGTAACAGAACGAAATGAACAAGCACGAACATGTAAAGATGCGCAGTAAACGAAGGAGTACTGATCGGTACCAAAGTGTGCAATAGCAAGTAAGTGATGTGCTTCATCCATACCACATACAGCGTGTTCAACCTCTCCTGCCCCGGGATTATGAGCCCCGAGTTGCTTTTTGTCGCACAATGTTAGAAAGACACAGGAAAGATCCACAGTTCTTTGAAAAAAATTTATGGTCGGATGAGACCAGATTTAAGAAAGATGGGTACATGAACCTGCATATCTTACACGAGTGGCACGTAGCTAACCCACATTTGATGAGAGAAGATAAATCTCAATATCGCTTCAAAATAAACCATTGGACAGGAATTTCAAATGGTAAAATAATCGGTCCGTTTGAGTTCCCAGAGACTTTGATTGCTGAAGTTTATTTGGATTTTTTGAAAAATCATGTACAAAATTTATTGGTGGACGTGCCACTGAGTATTTACTACAGGGACATGTGGTTTCAGCATGATGGCTGCCCAGCGCACTATGCACTCTCAGTGAGAGAGTATCTCGATCAAAACTTTCCAGGCAGACGGATAAGGCGGTCTGGTACAATACCGTGGCCAGCCCGATCACCTGATTTGAATCCTTTAGATTTTTTTACTGGGGAAGTGTAAAAGAAAAAGTGTATTTCAAGCCGATTCAAAATGTAGCTGAGCTACGGCAAAGACTATTGGAAGCAGCTGAGTTTGTTAATAACCGTGGATTCGCTCGTTTAATAACCCGATCTTTTTTAAGAAGATGTCGAGCGTGTATTGCGGCTGAAGGAAAACAGTTTGAGCATTTGCTGTAAAGGTAAATCATCATCAGCAGCATTCTGACGCCCACTGTTGTGCAAACAGTTATCCTTAAGGGTCCTTGTGCGTTTTCATAATCGCTGTTTAATTAGGAAATTTTGAAAAATTTTCATCAGTTTTTTTTCAAATAAAAATTGTGCATAAGTTAACGAGTAATCTTCTAAGTGTTATACCATTTTGGAATCGTTATTAAATGCGCCAACTTTTAAGGTTACTTGCCAAACTCTCGTAGTACATTTTTTTCCAGTACAGCCAGTTAAAGTTGAGCAAAGTTTTACGTGAACCCTTGGTTGGGAAATAAGAGGCAATTTTTCCTGAACGAGAAAGGTTGGCAGTAAGTTTGAGACACCAGTTTGAAGATGCATTATTCATCATTACATTGTAAAAATAAAATCCAAAAAAAGTTAATATTTGTAGTAACAGGAGTTGACAGACTGCCGTAGGGTGTGAAATTTCTATATCTTTTTCAAAGACCTATACTTTTCAAAACACATACATAACATTTTTTTAAATATTTTTCTGATAGCTGTTATGACTTTGCCTATCACCCGGTTTCGGCTTGACGTCGACTTCTGGGACACCCTGTATATATATATATATGAAAAGAATATATGCAAGGTGGAACTCCGGAGAATTTAGTACAAAATAAGTAATAATAAAATAAGTATAGGTTGAAAGAGTCCAAAGAAAAGTGACGTTCACCTTCATGTGATGCAGTAGGTAACGACTTTTTTCATCCAGCTTTTTGGAATTTTCTGTTGCACTTTTTTAGCATAGCAACTTCTACAGTATTTTTTCACTTTATTGAAGGCGCCTATCTTCTTCGATATAGCATGATGTCGTTTTGAGGCTATTGAGGTCTGCTGTGGTCGGGATTCCGGTAGATTGGTGAAATCGTAATTCAGAAGTGATAAAACCAGTTGCTCCCGGAACTCTGTTATTTTCTAAAAAACAAACTAACCTAATTGCAAAGCATTTTTATTTCATGTTTCTGACCCGAAGTTCACCAGTTCAAACTCGCAAAAGACGACCGCCAGGACGACCGCTTGGCACTAAGGGAATGATTATGTCAGTTATGCCGCGGCGGGCGTATACGACCGCTGACTAATTTTTGAAAATATGTATGCTAATAAAAAAATATAAAGAAAATTAGTTACTTAGTATAGCATCTGATGCAAGAAGCTTCACTTTTTTGAAGTTGCAACCAGAGACTACAACAGAAAACTTGTCAACTGAAGTTCGACTATTATCGCGAGTTTAATTCTTCCAACGTTTAGGTAGTCGTAGATTTGCACAATCGATTTAGTGGCGCCGGAACTACCGAAAAAAAAAAAAAATAATAAAAATCGCTGCACCCATTGGGTACCGTGGGGCTATAGGGGGATACATGGGAAAGGGGGGACGCCACACGGACTCTGGCGAGGGAACACGTGTGCATGCAACATGCACACATTCTGGCTCCGCCTACGAGATCCGCCGGGTGGTACCTCCGCGTTCGGCAGTCAGAAGCCGTCTACCACCTACGGACAATCACAACAACCATAGCCAAGAGAAAAATTCCTCCTGGGACGGGACTCGAACCCGCACAGCGCACGGCGGCTGATCAGGAGACCGAAGAGTCTACTACTGCGGCCACCGCTGCTGCCTAAAGCTCATTTTCAGATATTGTTTCTAGAGGACGAAATTGAGGTTGTAAGCTGTATGTGGTAAATGGTTGTAAATTGTTGCATGTTTGGTGTCAGTGAAAGGTCTATTATTAAGAAGCTGCTGGTCCCGGTATTATTATGCATCTGTAAGACATAATGAGTCACACCTGTTTCTCTATATCTGCCATGGAAACAGAAATATGATCAATTTAAGTCAGAGTTCCCCAAACTTTTTTGTGTCGTAGGCCCCTTGCCATGTTTTCCCGTGTTTGGTAGACCCCCTACTTACCTGATATTGATTTCCTGTAAATTTCTAACTGTAGTGAAGTTTAGTGTTAAGAACTTAAAGTAAAAACACATGTTAATTTATACATTTATTAATTGAATTTAAATTAAAACTACTCAAAATAAAATTTTGTATCTGTTATGTAAAATATACGTAACATTAAATAAACAGGTGTCTGATCAATAAGTGCCCGCATTGGGAATAAGTGCCCGCATTGAAAAAAAAATAAGAGGGATAAAATAAAAAAAACTAAAAAATAATAAAAAAAAGTTTTTTACTTAAAATAGTACAATAAGCGAGTTCGTTTATTAATTATAGCATAAACGTATGTTCTACAATAATTTCACAGTTAGTTTGATTAAATTCCGCTTCTTATACGTTATCTAAAAATAGGCAAAAAATTAACGAATTTTAGTGTGTACCTATCCTTGAATTTTCAGAATAATTTTTAAAAAAAATATTTTCTATAAAGGGAGGTTCTTTAAAAAAGTCAATGCGGGCACTTATTCCCAATGCGGGCATTTATTGGTCAGACACCAATAAACATAAAATAAACTATAAATAAAATAACATAAGCAATAAGTCAATATTTTTAGTGAGAAGGATGAACCTGATGCTTTAATAATAAATTATCAACATTTGGCGTCAATTTTGTAAGGGTTAATCTTAAATCTCCTCGGCTAATGATGTCCAGTCTGTTTCTTTTTTTCGTTAGGAGATTGGTAACAGCGCTGAACCCTCTTTCCACTAGGTATGACGATGGAAAGGAAATTAAAAATTTCCTCGCTATATTCCATAATACGGGATAAGTAACGGGTATGTTGTTTTGCAGCCAGAATTGATGATATCCGTTTTTAAACTGAACCTCAAGTTCTTCGTTTGTACTTAGTTCAGTCAGTTCCTCTTGTATTATGACATTCGTTTCTTCTATGTCACCATATGGATTAATCATCCACGGTGGTATTACCATAGTCAAAATATCCTCAAACCTAGATTCGAAATCTGAATAGAGGGCATTTAAATGTTGAACGTAAGTTGAAACGTCGTCGTCCTGGCAGCTTGTCTGTGACAAATTGGGGAACTGAGAAAATTCGCCCCGTCCAATATTTTGCTTCATTAGTTTAACTCTGGCAAGAAACGCTGATAAGATGGACTTTGTTTTAATCAAATTTAAACTGTCGCCTTGTAATTGCAAATTAACCATATTAAATTATGTAAACAAATCTGTTAAATAGGCGATGTCTGTTTTCCTCTTCATTAAATTTTCTTTTAAAATTTTATCTTTAGTATCCAGAAATTCTAAAATGGTCTCAAAAAGTGCAAAAAATCTTGTCAAGCATAAGCCTTTCGACAGCCAGCGTACTTCAGTGTGAAGGAGTAATTGATGAAAGTGTTCGTCATTTTCTTCACACAACTGCGCAAAGAACCGCGTATTCAACGCGTTGCTTCGGATTTGGTTTACTGCATCAATGACTAAATGAAGTGATTCATGCAATCTAACACTCAAATTTTTAGCAACTAAATATTGTCGATGGATGACGCAATGTATTGCTAACACCCCTGACACATTTTGTTTTAAATAGCTTAGAAATCCACGATAACGTCCAACCATGGCAGGTGCTCCATCTGTAGCTACTGATATTATATTTGATAAAGGAATTGCTTTTTCAATGAAGTAATCCTTCAAAACATGAAATATTGATTCACCTTTAGTGTCGGTTATCAAAGTTCTTGCGTAGATTTCTTGATTCATAATAAAACGAACATATGCCAATAATAATGCTGCATTATCAGGTAAAGTTGACTCGTCCAGTTGTATAGAGAAATGGGTCGTTTGCAAATAATTACATAAGAAGCTTTCAATATCGGAACTCATTTCATCAATACGTCTTTCAACAGTATTGTTGCTTAAGGAAATTCTTTTAATGATATCGGATGCAGGTTTGTGTAAAACAGTTTTTAAAACCTCTTCAACGGCTGGCAGAATTAACTTCTCTCCGATAGTATGCGGTTTTCCGGATTTTGCTATAAGTAACGAGATATTGTAAGACGCCCGCAAACCATCATCATTTCTTTGTGACGTCGAAGCGAACATTCTGTCCAGTGTAGGTCTCTTCTGAAATTTATCTTTGAGTGTTTGAAAGTATTTCAAATCTTTCTCTGTTTTATCAGGGTGGCATCTTCTCAGATGATGCAGTTTAGATGGTTTCATAGCGTCATTGCCCAAAACTTTGTTGCATAAAAGGCACATAGGCGATTGCTTGTCCGGCAATGATGGAATGAAGCCAAATTTCAAATAATCAACACTGAACTGTCTACATTTCTTCTTAGATTCGGACATGGCATCAGTCATCTGTGGGCAAAATTAAATTATTTAAATAAGACATAAAATCCAACAGCTGTATATTAAAAATATTTTTTGATTTTTCCGAAAACATTCCATAATTCGAACATCTTCTTGCAACAATTAGCTCGAATTACGGAGATTGCACTGTAATTATATTACCGATTGCTAAAACTTTCAAAAAGAAACTATTGAGGAGTACTCGTGTAATTTTGCATGATTGAATATTTAACTACTAATAACTAAAGTCATGATTGGCGTAATTTATCTATCTTTGCTAACTACGAGTACAAAACTAAAATTTAATAAAAAATAATGAACTTACTTTTCTCCAGCACTCTCAAACAAAATAACACTGACTCACTATAATTTGTGTGTTATACTATCTGTTTATATTTTTTAAAATATTTTCTTAGCGTTGTCCTTTTCAAGATTCAGGAAACGAATAAACGTATTTGTCCCACATTCGTATTTATAGAGTGACGAACTGAACAAGTCAGTGCAAGGTAGCGAAGGTCTGCGACTGCGACTCTCAGGTTTTTACAAGTTCAAAATTTATTGCGACCACAAAGCGAATACCAACATCCTACAACTTACACAATTTTATAAACATATATTTTTTTACTTCATTTTATAAATAATGTATATGTTTTGGTATTATAAGATAGTATGATGTAAGTAAATAGGTACTATCAGTGTATACGTATGTGTTGAGATCCACTATCGCGGACCTCCATATTCATTTCATGGACCCCAAACTTTTTTTCGCTGACGTAGACCCCTTGCAGGTTGTCATAGACCCCTAGGGGTCGATATAGACCACTTTGGGAATCAATGATTTAAGTGAACCACCTAATCACGATATTTGATTTCGCCGTTTGAAATGACTTGACCCATCTCTTTTCTTTAAAACCTCCAACGAAGGCGTAGGAAGTAAAGAGTCAATCTACTTGACGCCACTTTTTATAGATTCAAATGGAAAAGTGTTGCGATCATGCGCACATAAATAATTAAGTTAATTATCCGAGAATGGATAAATTTTGGACAAATGTGCCAAAATTGCGATTTATACTTTTAATCAACTTGAAGTTTGGGGCAAAACCTTGCTTATAGATCCCGATTCTTTGAATACTTGGTCAGTACTCTACCCCACGTGAGATTGGGTAAGATTGGACTCGAGATCTCTTCTTCCTCAGTTGAATAACATCACGTAATTAATAGACGCCCTAAAATATTTGAAAATGCAGTTTATTTTTGTATTACTTATTTTGTCCTTTGTATTTCAGGGCCGACATTTGGGAAGAGGCATGAGCAGGTGCTCCTGTATTTTCTACTGATCCTTATAGCATTTAGCATAAGAGTGAATTTATCTGTAGGAATCATTGCGATGACAGATAAGACAGCTAGCAGTAATCCAAACATACCGGTAAGATATGCGAATCGCTACTAACATTATCAATATAAAAGTGCGGATGTGTGTTACTCAATCACGCCAAAATTGCTGAATGGATCTGGATGAAAATTGTTTGGAGCAGCACATATGCTACTTTTTTCCCAGGAAGTAACTTTGAAATATCTTTTTTTTTTTTTTTTTTTTTTTTTTTTTTTTTTTTTTTTTTTAACGAGGGGGGAATGCATTTACGCACCATACCATAGCACGAGCTACGACGTGTGTGGGGCTCCAGGGTCTTGAAGAGATCACCTAATACCCACTAAACCCTAAACCTCCGCGTGGCCCGACTCATCAGCGTCTCGGTAGGCCATGTGTTGTGCGTGACCTGCGGTCTGCTACAACGTCTCCTCATGTGTTTCAGTCTCTGGGAACGCCGGGTTGGTTCCCTTTACCTCGCACATTCTATCGATGTCGTTAAGCGATCATCGATAGAGGGTCTGCTAGTTTCTCTTGAAACTCTTGTTTTCGAAAAATCAAGAGTTTCAAGTCATCTTACCAATATGTTGTTCCTGGTCCTGGTCCTGAAGGGTCCTGGTCCTGGTGGGTCCTGGTCGTGGCGGGTCCTGGTTGGTCCTGGTCCCGGTGGGTCCTGGTCCCGGTGGTTCCTGGTCCTCTGCATCCACGCCGTGGGGGGGGGGGGGAGCAGCCGCAAATTCTCCTAGTCTCCTAGTCAAGGTTCCAGTTAGCGGGTGCCAACTGGGACCTTGGTCTGGGGTACCTGGTTCTGCGGTTGCGAGGCCTCTCGTCCGGATCGTAGTCCATGAGGAATCGTAGCTGCTCGTTCGGGTGGTCCTGAGCTTTCTCGAAGGTCTTCTCCGCTTTTTTCCTCATGTACTCGTGGATGGTATCCCAATGCAGGTCTCTACGCAAGGTTGAGTTCCTTACGTAGGAAGGTGCATTGGTGGCGATCCGGAGTAGCTTCATCTCTAGAGCAGCAAGTCGCTTGCGGTAGCTGGGGGCAGCGTACCCCCAGACCGCGGAGGCGTAAGCGAGCTGAGGTCTGGCGATGGCCTTGATCAGCCGTAGCTTGGTCGCTAGCGGCATCTGGCTGTGTCTACCCAGTAATGGATAGAGTTGAGCCATGGCTGCTCTGGTTTTTGCGATGACAGCTTCTATGTGCGCTTTCCAGGTGAGGGACTTGTCAAAAACGATCCCCAGATATTTGACATTGTCGCTCCACTGGATATCTTCATCGAAGATGGATGCTTCGAGAGGTCTTGCAATCCTTCTTCGTTGAATGAAGATTGCCTGCGTCTTCTGGACGTTGATGCGGATTTTCCATTTCACGCACCAGTCCTGAATTTGGTCCAGTTCACCCTGTAGTCTCCTACGGATGATCTCGGGTCGTCTATGCTTGGCGGCTATAGCAGTGTCGTCTGCATATAGGGCCAGCATTGTGTCAGCTGTCTTCGGCACATCGTAAGTATAGATGTTGTAGAGCAGGGGGGCTAAGGCTGACCCCTGGGGCACGCCTGCTTCCAGCTGACGTCTTGTTGAGTGGCATGTACCAATCTTCACCGTGAACCATCTTTGTGTTAGATAGCTCTGGATCAGTTGGCACATGTTCGCATCGATTCCGGCGGCTTCCATTTTGGCGATGAGTCCATCGTGCCAAACTCGGTCGAAGGCTCGTTCCACGTCCAGCAGGACGAGACCGGTTGCCTCCTGGAGATTGAAGCCGCTGGTGATGTTTTCCGTCAGTCGTAGCGCTTGGAGTTCCGTGTTGTGGGAGGATCTGAAGCCGAATTGCTCTGGGGGGAGAAGTTGCAGTTCTTCTGCCTGCTTCTCTAGTCGAACGGCGATAGCCTTTTCGACTACTTTGCCCACCGAGGAAACCAGGCTGATGGGCCGGTAGTTCTGGGGCAACTTCCGGTCCTTGCCTGGCTTGGTGAGCATTATAACCTGGGCTTTCCGCCACCGCCGCGGGAAGTGGTTAAGTCTCAGAGTGGCATTGGCGATGTTGGTGAGCGCAGCAATGCCTTTGGTGGGAAGGTTCTTCAGCATCCTATTGTTGATGCCGTCCCTTCCCGGCGCCTTTCTGACCTTCAACCTGCGGATGATCAGACGGATTTCCTCTGGACTGGAGGGGTGATCCGTCTCCTGGCCAGGTGGTCGACTCCTCATGTTTTCGGCTGCGACTTCCACGGCCTCCTCGTGGTTGTCGTCCTCGTTTTCATGGTAATTGAGTCTGCATTCGGATTCTAGCGAATCGGCGAATGCTTCGGCTTTTTCTTCACTGGAGTAGGCCAAGCCGCGTTGGCCGTGAAGAGTGGGGATCGTGGTGCGCTGACGACGAAATTTTCGCTGCATAGACCAGGCCGTACCATCCTGGGTCTCTAGTTCTGCACAGGCTGCATTCCATCTGTTGTTTTGGAGTTCCGCGAGTGCGTTCTTCAGAGCTAACGATGCTCTGTTTCGCGCAACTCTCGACTCCTCTGTCAACAGCTGGAGATGTTCTCGCTTGAGTCTTCTGTTCTCCCTGATCAGGTGCCTAATATGGTGCGGTGCTGGACCATTTAGGTATCTAGGAACTGCCGTAGTCTCGGAGCGGGTGCTGTCCTCGTGCGCTCGCAGGACAGCATTCTCCAGCTCCTCTACTGCGTTGTCCAGTTCCTCCGCTGATCGGATGGTTGGAATTTGAGTGATGTTCCTCTGGACGTTGGATTTGTAAAGGTTCCAGTTCGTCCGTTTGGTGTTCAAGCTATCTCGAGTTCTAGACCCTGTACCAAGTGTTAGTAGAATCGGATTGTGGTCCGACGATCCTTCCACCAGGGTCTCTATCTCGAACTCCTCTCTGATGTTGCGGAGGATGGCTATGTCCAGTACCGCAGGTCGCCCAAGGCCGAATGGAATGTAGGTTGGTTGCTCCGGACCGACGATGACCCCCGCCAGGGCATCGACGTGTTCCTGGAGCTGCCTTGCATTCCTGTCTTCGACGTTGTTGTTCCAAGCCGGAGACTTGCAGTTTAGATCTCCGATGACTATGCGTGCTCCTGGGCCTCTCAGGAGGTCAGCGATGTCATCTTCGTCTAGGGCCTCCCCTGGTGGCACATATAGGGAGGTGATTCTGTAGGGACGGTGGTTGTGATGGACCTGGACCGTGATTCCGTCCCCATTTATGTCTGCGGCATCGTCGAGGACATGACTCGTCAAGGTACGTTTGACGAGTAATGCGACTCCTCCACCTCTGCCCCTTCTGTCGTAGCGGTACGTCTCGTACCGCGGGAACGTCAGACTATGGGCAGCATCCAACTTCGTTTCTTGGATGGCCATCACCTCTGGTTGGTACTGGTCTAGTATCTCCTGGATTTCTGGTTTCCGTGCCCTGAAACCGTTGATGTTCCAGGAGATAATGCGTAGAGATTCTACGTTTTGACCTGTAGACATTTCGGGTCTAGTGCTTGTCTTGCATCTTGGCCTCGAGTGCATCCAGGCGGGTTATGATGGCTTGCATCATTGCTAGCAGTCTGTCATCGCCGTGTTGCTTCTGCGCAGTAGTTCCAGTAGCAGTGGCGGCTGCTGGGGCAGAAGTGGACATAGGCTTCTTCACTTTTTGGGCGTAAGAAGTCCTATTTGTGGTGGGGACTGCTTTGGGGGCAGAAGCAGCTTTCTTCGGCGCCTTACTACATCCCTTGTAGTTGGCCGGGTGGCCTTCTCCACAGAGGCAACACTTGGCGTTTCGTTGCCCTGTTGGCGGCGCTGGCAGACTGCAGCTGGTGCTGTTGTGGTCCTCTCCACACTTAACGCACCGTTCAGCGAGACGGCAGTTCCGCTGTGTGTGCCCGTACCGCTGGCAGCGGTAGCACTGGCTGGGCTCGGAAGACTTTTTCTTCCTCTCGAAGCTGACCGTGAGCATGGCCAGCCTCTGGATCTCTGCAAGCTTTTCCGGCATCTTCGTCTTGACGAGGAAGAGCGGAAGTGGCTTCTTTGTGGTCCTTGAGGTCAGCTGCTGAACCACGGCGTCTGCGATGCCTTGGCTCACCAGATCCTCTTTGATGTCATTGACTGACATCTCTCTCGGAAGCCCACGAATGACCCTCTGGTCCATCCTGTCCTCCTTCAGTTGATATGTGAAGAAGGGCCGCTTGATGGATTCAAGCAGTGCGACTAGCTGACGGTAGTCAGCTGGTGTATTTGTGAATACCTTCACACTGGTACCCGCCGTCCTCGCTTTGGAGAATTGAATCCCCTTGCTGTTCATCATCCTACTCAAGGATGACCAATCAGCGGTGCCCTCGATATTGATTGGCGGAACTCCTGAAATCTTCATGAAAAATTAATGTTAGTTTGTTTTATAAACTATGGTCCAAAAATGTTTCCTTACAAAAAGTCGGGGTGTTGAAGTTTTAGGAAAAAAATGGAAATTAATAAATAAACTGTTTATAAAATCGTTGGATTGACCGCGGTGGGCCCCAAGAATGGCCACCAAGGCCCCAGACCTCAACATTTTAAATTTCTTTTTGTGGGGCTATCTTAAGACACTAGTGTACACAAGTCCCATTAGCACTGTGGAGGAATTAAGAGAAAGAATAGTTGCAGCTTGTGATAGAATAAAAAACACTCCAGGGATATTTCAACGAGTGCGCAATTCCATGAGAAGGAGGGCGGTAACATGCATGCCATTTTCAACAATTTTTGTAATCATTTCGTTGGTTTTAATGTTATGTTTATGTAGTCAGTTGTTGCTGTTCGTTACCCCTAATATGTTCAATTTTTCCAATTAAATTAATAATAATTTTGCAAGCTAAACGATAGAACGGTTTTTATTTTTTTACTCAAAAATGGCGCATCGGAAAAATATGCAACTTTATTAACTTTCACTACGTACTAAATATCAGTGAAATATCTGAAGCGGTTCTGAAAATATTAATTAATTTCCATTTTTTCCTAAAACTTCGACACCCCGAGTTTTTGTAAGGATTTCGGACCATAGTTTATAAAGCAAACTAACATTAATTTTTCATGTAGATTCA